CCTGTTTATCATGAGCGTACGAAGCATATTGAAGTGGATTGTCACTCTATTCGGGAAGCCGTGGATACTCATGTCATCTCCATTCCGCATGTTTTCACCGATCTTCAGATAACTGATGTGTTTACCAAGGCCATGACTCAACAACGGCATTATTTTCTTGTAAGCAAATTGATATTTTTTGATCGACCAGCATCAATTTGAGGGGGTATGTCACTGGGATATGTATGCTGTCATTACCAGCACATATATATCCATATTTACTATATATGTTTATTGTATATTAACTGTCAATATTTGTAATTAGTAGGGAATATTGCATTCCATATTTAGATAGATTAGGAGCTGTAAATAACAGATTTTTTGGCCTGTATTAAGCTCTAGAGTTTCTATTTAATAGAGGAAACTCTCATTTAGAGGTATTCAGTATCATTGACAATAACTGAGTTGTATCTAAATCTAAAATTTTTTAAAATAACACACTAATTGCACCAATCATAATATCACTCGGAAGAACATAGAGGACATTAATCTTGTTACCTTTCATCACAATCAAAAAAACCCTACAAACCTTCATAACTCTTCCAGCAACCAATGGAATCTAAAATATACAAAGAAATCAAAATTTTCTTTAATTCCAGAATATGCAGAACATCTGTCAAAGTTCTCATAACTCCATATATTCCAATCCAGATAATACCTATTCCAACTGTCTTGCACGCAATATTATTTTCCATCAAGGCTGAACCACCATTGATTGGCTCATAGGTGACAAAACAATCTCTATTAGGGCACATATGATAAGAACAACTCAAATCAAGAATCCATTCATCATTAAAATGCCCATCATAGACAACAACTATAAGGACATTATCTAAACCATCAAATGTATCTTCTGCAACACCAATTACATTAGAAGAATCATAAATTTTGATTTTTTTGTCCCTCCTGATTGATCCACTTAAAACAATCATGCTTGTAATGGTCAATTTTGTGACAATAGAAATATTCAACATTGTTGTGTTTCTCCTAGACTATTTTCGATTTCTAGATTTTTCTTTTTCTTTATCTAAATTTCTTTCAACGGATAGATCTCAATTATTATTAGAGAAACTATTATGACAACCCTTCACAAATAGATTCTCAGCCATCACTGCCTTTACCATTCAATTTGGTACATAACTCCTTAGAATTCAAAGATGACTATACATCAACTAAGGAGATCAAGTATCTCCCATACAACATCGAATTAACAAAATTATCAAACAAATCAGGCAATGATCATAACATAATAAGAGTTTGATCTTCATCCCCAATTTTAATATCAATACTTTTCAAGTCTATAATAATTTTATTAATTTATCAATATGTTCATTAATGGGCGTACTTTCCTTTATCTTGATTGTATACAACCATTGCTTCCAATACAAGCAGAAGGCGAGAGACTTATTCATATACAAACTCTCCAATTTTTTCCATAACCCTTCGGCTTTGTCCTCATCGACGACCTCACGAAGAACCTCATCAACAAAAGACAACTAAATTGCATTGTTCACTTTATCTTCAATGTCAGCGACTTTGGTATGATTTGTTTCCTTGGATACGGATTCATCATTGGCTTTTGTCAAACCCTATTCACGAAACAATACCTTCATATTGATCTGCCACAAATTGAAATTGTGCTGACAATCAAATTTTTCTATCTCGAATTTTACAGTAATCATCCCGACACCAAAGCTCTGATACCAATTTGTTATGAACCAAGGTCACAAATAAATAAAATAGAATGAAATAAAAAATTAGAACACAAGTTTGTTATGGGATTGAGGAAGTGGACAGAGTGGTGTCATTTGAAAAAGTAGCAGGCCAGGCAAGTACAACATTCCAAGAGATATACACCTTGCAGGAAGTACGTCGCCTTTTGAATTCAGTAGATAAAAGAAACTATTAGATAGATAAGGAGTAGGTGAGTGAGTGAGCCTCTATGTGAAGAGCTATATCCAATAAAAATGCACCGCTTGCTACGAAACATGAATTTGTGCGAGTTGTAAGGAAGTATAATAAGGTAACAAGCACAAGCAAAAGATTTAAGAAAAGAATAATTCAGATGTTTTCCAAATAATTTGAAGAACAGAGATATATTATGCAACATTGTCGAGGGTAACCGATTGATCAAATAAATGGATGTTAAAAAGGCCTTAACTCAGAATTCCATAAAGAGTCCAGATTAAGCTAAAAGTGAGAGACCAAGTTCTACAACATGTCCATGTTTTTCGTTTAGCCAATTTGTTTTGTTGATATGTATGCGAACAGCTAAGAGGATGTAGTACGCCATTGTGCGACAAAAATTGTTTAAATGGATTTGATATGTATTCCCACCATTATCACAATGAAATTGTTTGATTTTAGTGGAGAATTGATTTTCGACTAAAAGTTTGAACTTGATAAAGCAAGAATACACATCAGGATTTGTTTGCAATGGATACATCCAAGTAAATCGTGAAAAATCATCAATAAATATAACATATAATAAACAACCACCAATTGATCTAGTAGAGCACAACCACACATCATTGTGAACAAGTTCAAGGGGAGAAGTTAAAATTCTAGTAGATGCAACAAAAGGTTCTTGTTTACTCTAGCCAAGTTGACAACGAGCACAAACATCTAGTTTATTCAAGGAAACCACAAATAGGAAGAGAGTGTTCCTTAATTATCCTAGAAACTATAGGGTGAGATGGGTGGTCGAATCTTGAATGCCAAACAAAAACCATAACCTTTACACCTAGAAGAGCTGTAAGATTATTGTGTTTGACTGGAGCCAATTTTTGGAGAGTGGATGGGGTACAATCTTCCTTCACCTTGGCTCTTTAACAAGATTTTGCCCATCTACACGTCATGAATAAAATATTGAGAACTAGTTAAAACAAAGAAACATTTGTTGTCAAAACAAAATTGATTAATGGACAATAGATTAGCAAAAGCTTTGGGACAATGCAAAACACTCAACATGGAAAGAGATGATTAGGGGGAAGAAATAAGGTCAGAACCCATGCTAGCTATCTCCAAGCCAGTGTCATCTTTAAAGGCAATGTTGACACCTCTAGTGTAAGATTGTAAAAGAGAGAGTAGTTTAAGATTTGCGGTAAAATGCTGATTAGCACTGCTATCTGCAAACCATGTTTCGTCATTTGTTGCGCCATTGACTTTAGCCATGAAGGTGATATTGTTTAGGGCCGCCGTTGCAGCAAGAGTTGGAGGATGATGACCTTGGTACGAGAAATCAAATTTGTCGTAACAGTCCAAAGCCTTGTGACTATAGTTTCCATAAATTTGACAAGTTTTGCATCCATTAGAAACACTGCCAGTGGGTTGTTGTGAAGAGGCAGATCCGAAAGGGAAGGAGGAAGCATTGAAAGTAGGCTTCAGCTTGTTGCGACGGTGAAATTGCTGGGAAGATTGAGGAGCAACTAGAGTAAAGGATGTCTCTGGTGGAACTGTTCATTAATGGGACTCGAGGAGAATTTCAAAAGAAATTAATTCGCCTTGAAAGTCCATAAAAGACATGCTCGTCTCGAGTAGCAATATTAATAGAATTCTAAAATAAAATAAAGGACGCATTCAAGCCACTTAGTAAAGTCAGCACAAGTAATCTTCATCAAAGGTTTTCCCTGCCAAAGCAAGTTGATCTACAAGACTCTTGGCAAAAGCTAAATATTCTAAACATGAACGTTTTTCTTGATGCAAGCTGCGAAATTGGCATTGAACAAGGTTAATCCTAGAGCGTGGTTGCGAGACAAACCTTGTGGAAAGTGATAACCAAACCTGTTTGGACGTAGTAAGTCCAAAAACAGAAGAGAGAACCTTTAGTGTGAGAGTTGGCATTAATTCAAGAGAGAATAAAATGATCTTTCTTGTTTCATAAGAGATACTCCGGGTTGATATCACCAATAGTTTTACTAGCCGTGGGAGGAAGAAATTGATTAGGGCACGGGTCTGAACCATCCACGAAGCCCATTAGATAGTTGGATTTTTTTTCAACATTGGAACAAATTGGGAAAGCCATTCAAGATAGTTTTCACCATCCAATTTGACCGAGATGAGTTAGCCAATATTGAGGGCAACAAAGGCAAGTGAGTAGGCATTATCAGATGAGGAGGCCATTTGAGTAGGCTGCACATAATCGATTATAAGTGTTTGCTTGGTGAGCTATGATACCATGAAATAATATAGAAGTTTTAGTGTTCTTCAATGACCAAAACATTATGTATTGAGTGTATACATATTGACACAATGACTACACAACTTTTCAAAAAGAGATTGGATTACAAATAATCTAAACAGAAAATAAATCTGGTGCTAGTCTTCATGCTCATCACGTAGAGATGTGATAAGAGTTTGAGTGCACTTGGACATTGAATCGATCAGATTGGATGAGTTTGAGGTGCAAGTGCAGACCAAGTCTTCACATTGGTCAACACTTTAAACCAAAAAAATAGTCATGTAGCTCATGACTAGTTTTCAAATATATAATGCTTGGAGGTCGATCACATGATTGTATAAAGAACAACTCAAACGTATAATAGCTAATAGACGCGGGTCCATCTAAAAATAAGAATTCTTCTTGACATAACACATCTCCTCGACTTAATGAGTAATCTCCCATTAGTCAAAAGTGGCCAATTATTTCATTATCTCCTATAACATATGTTGACAGAATAAAACACTATTATTTCATTTTTCATTGAATCTTGGCAGCAACTAGCACACCTATAGTGACCAATTATTTATTAAATCTTGGCAGCAACGAGCACACGATGGCAGCACGTGTTATATAGCTTGTAAATGGAGTCATTTATTCATTATTATGAAGCTCGTTTTACTCAATTGTAAACAATGTTTTGACTTGTCTATTATCAGCCTGACCTTGTGCTTGGTTATAAGTAGGGTGTTCTAAAAGTTCATTGAATTAAATGGTATCCAACAGTAATTGTCTAAGTTGGCTAATTAGACATTGAACAAGTAACACAACCTCTGTAACTGTAAAGCAAGGGAGTCCCTGTTATGGTTGTATCTACCGCCATGAAGAAGGCTCTAGCTAGTACTCTACCAAAAAATAATCCAAATGCAAAGAGCAATGGCAAACAACTCATATGTGAAAGCAAGAAGTAACTCCATTGATATTCAAATGGTATTGCAAGCATAATAGATTCGTTGAAGACTAGCAGAGAATAAACTTAGAAACCATAACTAGCTGCTATTGGTGCAAGTAAGCACAAAAAAAAGTAATGAACGAGTAATATATTACGAAAAAAATGAAAGAATGATTAACAGCATGAAGAATAGGGTTAGAACTACGAAAAAATAGTGTACTTGATATCCCTATCGAAGTACCAATGGAGATTTCAAGCAATAGAAAAACTTTCTTTCAAGGTTGTAGAACAATAGAAACTCTTACTAACACATAGGGGTCCCAAACACCCAATAGAAAAGTAATAAGAATGATTAAAAACATGACTAGGGCCACGATGCTAAGCAATAACGCAAAGAATAAGAAGATGATGATGATGATGGTGATCTTTGTGCATATAAAGAGAAGTCCCTTTCAAAAAGGGACAAAACTACCACTTATTATAAATAGTTGTGAAAAGCTTAAGCTGGTTGATAATGGCTAAAAGGAAACCTTTTGATCATCAACATTAATTCCCTGTTCCGTGTGGGTGAACTTCCTCCATTTCCTCCTCTCAACATCGACCTAGGGTAATTATATTCTTGATTTTATCTCTATTGTACAGATTAGCTCAACCATGATTACAACTCACTATAGGTGGTAGCTCCAACACTAATTTTTCTGAGGCAAAACATTTGGGAGAGACGATTTGATAGAAGCAACTAACCTAACTAATCTACTTTTGTCCACTTCTTAGCACTGCATGCTTATCTCCTTCCCTATGGTTGTCCACGACTCTAATTGCTCATACTCTAATGCTACTTGTAAGGTTGACAGTCCAATTTTTTCAGTATGTATGCTTGCACCACTAGGAGATGATTTAACATTTAGTTTGCCATGTTGTTTTATAAAAGTCAAGACATGTGACTAGTCAACATGAAAAGGGTAAATACAATTTAGAACTTTATAGAGACAATTTAGAATACATACGTTATTGTAAAACACAGAAACGTATGAAAATGCATATGCAATGAAGTAAAACTACAAGCCCAAGATGAGGGAAACTGAAAATTGAAGGCTAAAAGATGCTGAGAAAGTGACTATAAATCCCATATTGCATTGAACTATTTCCACAGTTGATGAAATATTTCATGGAAAATGAGAATTTCACTCTTCGAATTTGCCAAATGTGGTTCATGGTACAAAATTTTAGGCAGTTCAAGGGGGACAAAACACGAAAGTTATCAAAAGCTGTTATACAAGGACTTAAATAGCCAAAATTGCTTACATAACAACTTTAAATTTGAAGTAATTTAACATTGCATGCATCTCTTATTTGAATAAGAGTCATCTTACTAGAAGGATCCTCTTTCCCTCTCATATTCTCTTGATTTCTCATAGTTGCACCCTTAACAAGCTGATTCTTTGTTTTTTTTTTTTTCCGCCCAGCCGCTTAAAGGCCAGATTGGAAGGATCAGTTTTTTTCTTAAAAAAAATACAATATATCAAACAATATTAAAGACCTTTCCCCTTAACTAAGACGCTACACAATCACTAACATCTTTTGGTTCTTTTCTTTCATCTTTCAACTGAGCATATGATAATGCATTTTGATAAACAGATACAACAAATAACCAAGTGCAATAGAGGTCCAGGTACTTTTTAAATTGACCATTTTACTATAAATAGCATCAAGAGCCCTCAGTTCTGATAAGCTCAATGATCTACTCCTGAAGGAAGCAATCCATGAGAAGGAAATGGCACCGCTCTCTCTCTCTCCCCGGCCCCCCACCCCCACAAACACGCTGAGACACCCACACAAACAGATCTGAGAACATAATCGCAGAAAGATTCTAGGAGATTCTCGTGTACTTTTTATTCTAGTGTTGATTTTTGGCCCTGTCCTTAGCTTTCAAATCTTCTTGCTGACTTGTGATAAAACATAAAGCAAATAGCCTTTTAAGTTGCTAAATAGAATGCCGTGTTTTTTTTTTTTTGCTGGGATAGGTAGAATGCTGTTATGCAACCATAACTTCATCAAGATCATGGTAAAAGCAACTGCCCGGGGGGGGGGGGGGGGAGAGAGAGAGAGAAACCTTGAGCTGGCATACTCGAAGAGCTTTCCAGTTGCAGAGAAGACAATAAGAGCTATATCCGCATCACAAAGAGTTGAAAGCTCTTGAGCCTTCTTGAAAACCCCTTTTCGTCTCTTCGAAAAAGTCACCTGCCTAGCAGTCAAGTTGTCGATCTTCCTGATCTGAATTCTTTGCCTCACCATTTTCACTGAAAAAAAAGTGAAAAAAAGTAGGATAAATCATGGGTTTTGAAGGAGAAGACCTGAACATATTTTTTCAAAATAAAAATAGACATAAAATCTGAAACCAATCCTCCACTCATGATCAACCAAAGTATTAATTTAACCTAATCTTTAACAAAAAAAATATAGAAAGTAATGGAGCTAAAAATTTGAAAGTCTGTTTGGGGTTTAACCAAAAAAGAAAGCAAAAATGGCATATTTCTATATCAGGAGAAGAAGATACAGTACAAACCCTAGAGAGAGAAAGCAGAAAACACCTGCAAAACAGTCAGGAGCTAAAGAAGCCAAAGCACCCAATACTATTATCTCTCTTCAAAGTTTACAAATTGCACAAGTGGAGTTATGGGGATTGGCCAGATTTTTTGAAATTGCCTACCTGGGATGTGTTTTTTTAGTGCTTTTTTGAGAATCCAGACCACCCAATAAAAAGTCACCAATAACCTACAGAGAGAGATAGAGAGATAGAGAGAAAGAAGAGAGAGAGAGAGAGAGAGAGAGAGAGAGAGAGAGAGAGATGTGTGTAATATTCCATTTATTGCCGGACATTGACTATAATGTCAAAGTAAAACTGTACGGAAGACTTACTTCCCTATTTATATCTGTATCTTAGGAAAATTTATTGTAAAATAAGAATAACAGCATACTCAATTTTGATAAAATTGTGACAATATAAAATTAATTAGCATCAATCTTAATTGGTTTAGGTCGATATAATTTTTAGTCTATATCATAACTATGTGTAATTTATGCCTAAAAGTACAATACAATATGAATAATTTTTAGAGAGATGTTAATAACCGTTAGATAAATTTATTTGAAATTGCTATATAAGTTTTTTGAAGCTCGCCCTATTTTGTATGATAGATTATGAGCAATGTTATTGGGGACATAATTTGTTGACCTAATTCACTATGACTTTTAGATTAATTGTGGGCTCCATTAAACATCAAAATTTAGTGTGTATCCAATAATTCTAATAAAATCACATCATTAAGTCAGTAAATTATGTCAAATTTTTAGGTCTATATAATATTTTCCATAAACTATTGTTATGATTGCCACTTGAGGCCCTAGCCTTGTTCATTAGTTATAGGAATGAATTCAAAACCAAGCCATCGGATTTGAAACGTTCTAAAACTGGCACAAATTGAAATTCAGGAAGTGTATGATCAAGTGAAATAAAAAACCTCTTAAGCCATATATATCTTGGGATAGGTTGGGCTGAGGGGTTTTGAAATGGATTTATGATTAGGGTTTTAGGGATGGATGAATTTGAGATGAACCTCTCTTTCTTACATAGTGTTTTCAATTTGGAGTTGTTTTTTATTTCTATTTCGGGGGAAGAAATCCCCTTTTTATTAGTTTGGTTGGTTGAGTTAATTGGGATTGAGATTAAAGGTGTTCAAATTTTCAATCGGCCGTAAGTTCCTACCCTACCCACTCCTATCCTACCCTACCCTATTGAATGGTTAGTCGCAAAAATCAAGTAAAAATACAGTTTCATTTCCGCATTCCAACCCTACCCGCAATAATTTTTTAATTAATATATATATATATATATATATATATAAACTAAAAAAACCCTAAATCCTAACCGCATGCGGAGCAATTATGATTTTAATGGATTTCATATGATTTAAAGTTTAAACTTAAATTAATTATTATTGTATTTGTGTAACAATTATGGTGAATTGATGTTCATACTTTCTTGTGTTTTATTATAATTTTTATTGTAGTTGTTTTAGATTTTAGTGTTAATTGATTTATTGTATTGTTAAATTGGTGCGTATTATTTAATTAAAGAGTAATGTTATGTGAATTTAATAATCTCAACCATTGAATAGGTAGTGGGTCCCAATAAATGTTGGGATTCACAGTAAAATCAATGGTTGAGATTATTAAATCTACTTTTTAAGTCTATGTAGTATTACTCTTAATTAAATTATTAAAATAATTCAAAAATTAATTATTACAAAAATGTTTATTCTATTTTCTATCCGATTTCTTACCCGATTAATAGGGTAGGAAGTCGAATAAGAATACCATATCTGTCGGATAAAGTAGGCAAAAAAAACACTCTTCTATAAAGTATCATGTAAGAAGAGAAAAAAATATATTTTCTATCCGGAAAATAAGATGAACGCTTGGAACAAAGAAATTGTGACGGGGAGGAGTTGAAATTACTAACAATTGAGGCGTGTGGCAGAGAAGTTATGGTTGTTGTTGAGTGAATAATGTGTGTTGGTACTGAAACAGTTGGCAGTGGCCAGTGTGACAATGACTGAACTACCAGTGATGAACACACACCGTAACCTATCAAATTAGCACACAAATATAATATATATGATACAATACGGATATATTAATATGATAAAATTTAAAAAAAAAGATAAAAGTATGATCAAAATATGACTATAATAAAATATTTTTATTATTTTCAATCAGTGTAATGTTTATTTATTTTGGTAACTCTTTAATATATAATAAGAAAAATTAGTAATTTTTTTTTAGTTTCAAGAAAATATATATCATATCACTATCGTATATTGATATATATTTACAAAGTAAAGTGACTAATTAAAAAAACCAAAACTAATATTTACCTAATATTTAGAAGTAATTTTTGGTAAGATAATAATGTAACAACTTTATTTTATGTTTTTTTAACATGTAATTGTAAATAATATTTAAAAATCACTCATATGCCTTTGAAGTAATATAAATTTTTTGTTAATATATTGTATGGTATGTGAATTCGAAAAGAGATATTAAAAGTTTAACTCAAAAATTATATATGTTGCTTAACCACAAAAATATCCGTGAAGTATCTTAATATTTAATTATTATTGGATACGTAAAAGGTATATTAATAAAATAATTTGATCTTAATTTGATAAATTTAAATATTAATTTGAGTATCCGACGAATATTGTATTCGATATGAAATCGAATACAAATACGTCAATTTCAACGAAGTATCCGTGTTTCACAGACCATAACCCATTATTATAGGATTTGATTTTGAGATGGATCGTAAATTCAAGTGATTTAAATTTAACTCTCTTTAATTTCGATATCTATAACTAACAGTTAAAAAAACAAATATTTGAAATTTATTTAGTTATAATGGTCTAATAAGGCTTTGTGTAAATGAGATTTTTCGTTTAACCCACGTAGATGGGGTTAAAACTTTTTAAATTAGGTTAGAATAAAATTCAAATAAAATTTTCGATGGATTTTTTATATACTTTTTTTTATCTTATTTTATCAAAATTATCCTTCTTTTAACTCAAGATCCAAACATACCCCAAATTACATTCAGCCGGGCGGGTATATGCTAACAGCCGTACAAGTGACCATGCCCGAACGCAGTCGGAACCGATTGAATTATGACATTTTGTAGCCTCGTACACGTCCTTGTCTGGCCCCCACACCTAAAACTGACGTGACTCGTGAACTTGCTCTTACGTGGTCCATTTTTAGTGTTTCGGAATATAAATCTTTTATTAAATATATGAACTATAAAAAATTATAACTAATGGCAACTATGATAGGGGCGCCAATTTTTGACTCAAACACGAACCCGACTCGAGTCGGATTCAACACGAATTCGAAAATAACAAGATTTGTTGACACAAGAAAAAAATTGGTCAAATTAAAGTTCAACACGAATAACACGATTAATGAGTACTGTAGATAGAAAATTATTATTTAATGAGTATTTTAGATATAAAATAAGAATTTTTTAATTTTTTAAAAAATATTATATTAGTTATTGTCAAATTAAATAATTTTTTCTTAACAGGAATATTGACACGTACCGAAAGTGATACAACATGAAAATAGCACGACCGAAAGTCACACGACACAATTGACACCTCTAACTATGATCTACTAATAAATTATTTTTATCATTTTTCTTTAACGTAAATAAAATTATTATTTTTGTGATAAATTATTTTTATTATTTTTATTTAATACTACAAAAATAGTAAAAAAAAACTCACAAAAATAATAATATATTAACACGATACTAATTTTGTTTTTAAGAAGCGTAGACAACTACAAAATAAAAATAAAAGAAGCAGAAGAAGAACTACTGTTAGTCTCCTCCACCAGTGACTTAAGCATTGACCAAAATGATAGTTTATGGCTTTGCAATTTTCCTACTTGAATGAATTTTCCCGTCTTTGCTGCTCAAAAAAAAAAAAAGAGATGATTTTTTAAGCGTTTTGGTATGGTAACAAAATATTACTTTTTAATATGTATAATTATTTTTTATTCAATAAAAATATATTATGTGTTAAAACAATTATTTTTTTGAATAAAAAAATTATAAATTAACTAAATTAAAAACATTGACTGAATTATCTTTTAGCAAATTACCTTCACGATAACATAATGTTATCAATTTTTTAACATTTAATGAACAATTATAATTCACTTTAGTTACATGTTGTTCTTTTGTGGTATGTATTTTTATCATTATTGTAGGAATAAAAATAATAATAGTTATTACAAATGATAAAAATATAAACAAATGAGAAAAAAATAGATAAATTATCAACAAAAGTGATAATTTTTTAGAAAAAAAAATCATTCACACCCTTGTAGATAGGTCTAAATTCAATAACGCCCCTCCTGATTTTAAAATTTCACTATACTCTCTTCTAGTTTATACTAACAAATCATGGACACCCCCTAGTCATAACATTTGTCTCTGACATTTGATAAAATGCACAGTTTAGCTACCTATTATTTAAAAATATCAAAATTACCCTTTGATATGTTAATAGACTAAAATGCCTTGAATCGACACTTTATAAAGTTTAATTTTTAATTTTTTTGATAAGTAGGATAATATATTTATATAATAAAATTATTTTTTACATAAAATAAAATCATTCACCATAAGAAGGTAAATAATGCATACAAACAAAAAAAAAATAATAATAATAATTTTAACATTTTACCAAAACAAGGTTACTTGTAGTCATTTTCAATTGATTTCAATGAATTTTTATTATTTTAAAGCGTTGTATGATAAATTTATTTTAAATACCACCTAGAAAATATAAATATTAGTATAAATATTAGTTACCATATTATCACTCATTTGGTTACATATTCTAGTTTCTATAATTTTTCTAATTAAAAACATTTTCT